GTGGGTCACTCTGTGTGTAATTAAGTGTGGGTCACTCTGTGTGTAATTAAGTGTGGGTCACTGTGAGTTTATGTGTGGGTCACCGTGTGTGTGTGGCAGTGTGCATGTGTCTTGCAGTGTATATTTAAATGGCAATACATCTCAGCATTCAAACACCACCAATAAATAATACAAATACACCCCTGCATTCAGATGCCAACACTATATTAAAATGCCAACACTACACACAAATGCACAACTGCATGCAAATGCAAACACTACTTACAAAACACATCACTACATTCAAATGGCAACAGTGCATACAAATACACTACTACATTCAAAAACACACACACTCTATTCAGAAACATGCTTACATTCAAATAAACATAAAATGCTCTTAAATATAACCCTGCAAGGGTGGTAAAAATGTATATCCAGCTGGCAAAGCATTTTTGGAGTTGCACGATCGTTAAGGATCTATGTTTTAGCCATCCAGGCAGAGGGGGCCCAAAAGATTTCTTGCACAAGGACCCTCTCTACTCAAGTTCCTCCACTGAGTACAGTTAAGAGCGGCATAACTACTGTCCCTCTCTGCTCGCTCTAAAGAGCAGATGGAGGGCCCCCAAACCCTCATGGGCCCTGGTGCGGTAGCACCAGCTGCACCGCCAGTAGTACTGCCACTGTGTGTCAGTGTACTCTGTGTGTGTTTGTGTGTGTGTGTGTGTGTAACTATTTTGTCTGTATATTTTCATTGTGTGACTTTTATACTTCAGATTAATAGTTCATACGCTCCTCCTTATATACACAACATTCACATAATGTCATATTTATTGTACAAATATTCATTACTACCTTTAATCAGGCTTGCTCTCCAATATGGGATTAACTTACATATCCGTGTCTAGACGTTTCATTTGAAATTGAAATCAATAGAAAATACTTTCTCGAGGCAGTGGTACTTATGAACTTTTTTAGACCTGCAGGGATACTGCTCCATAAAAGGTTGAGAAACACTGCAATACTGAACCTGTATCTTTGAATCAGAATAGAACTGATTTGAACCTGTACAATCCAGTGATTTAAGGGACAGGTAGTTAGCGGACAGCTTGGAGTCCAGTATTTGACTGTGCCCTGTCTTAGACATATCAAAGGATGAAGGGATCTATTATAGTCGTTACATTTTTTGTTGTTACATGGTGTCTAAAAATAGAGGTTTGATCATGGTTTGTCCTAATTCGACCTCTAAGTGCTTTAAATTCCGGCATATCTTTGAACTCTGATAAGGAATGATTTTGTTCTCCATTCCATTTTTTTTTATGTAGGATAACTATGTATGTTATCTCACAAGCAGAGGTGATGAAAAAGTAAAACATGCAACAACTGTGATTAAAGTGTCTCTCTCATGAGGAATGTACTATGCATCATCACGAAGCACTTCAAGAACAAACTATGCATTGCGTGAATCATTTTCAACTTTTGTTGGGCAACGTGTTGACATATAAAATACTGAATACAGAATTTCCAGGTAACCTGAGCTACAAACAGCAACAGGGGGAGGCTGGCTCATATGGACAGGTGGAGCAGCGCCCTCCCCTCAGTTTTTATTGCACTAAAGTCTACAATTTTATAACATGACAGGAGGCTTCATATTTTGTATTTTTAAAGCTGTGGAAGAAAGACATCAGAATTGTGAGAAATCTAACGGATATAAAAAATACATGGAATGTGCTTTCTCTAGGCCAGTCCACAGATCGCAAGATGCCGGTAAGCGGATGCCGCTGGAATAGTCTGCGACATAGTCACACCCTGGTCTGAGTGTGCGCCAAAACAAGTGTCTACACCCGCCAAAGACAACAGCCAGCGAGTCCATCTCACTAGAGTGGTTTACTTGATAGGATGGTGAGGTTTAGCATAAAGATAAGAAGTTGGCCTGACTGAGATGCTCGTAGAGGAGCGGTGCCTTCTACATAGCGCATTAACATGTCAACCACGCAGAGGTGAGGGGCAGTCCGAAAAAAGGGATACGAGATGGAGGAGGAATCCATTTTATTCCAATGTGAGAAGGAGAAACCGTAACATCGAACGCTGGAATGTCTGCGATCGTCGGAAAGAAAGGAAGCACAACAAAAGCGTAAGTCTCGACGAGAATTGACAGAGAGACAATTCAGTATTGTCTGGCAACTCTCAAAGAAAATTTAAAGGACCACTATAGTGCCAGGAAAACATACTCGTTTTCCGGGCACTATAGTGCCCTGAGGGTGCCCCCACCCTCAGGGTCTGACTCCCGCCGGGCTGGATGACGAGGAAAGGGTTAAATCTTACCTTTTTTCCAGCGCCGGGTGGGGAGCTCTCCTCCTCCTCTTCGGCTGAATGCGCATGCTCCGCAGGAGCTGTGCGCGCATTCAGCCTGTCTCATAGGAAAGCATTCATAATGCTTTCCTATGGACGCTGGCGTCTTCTCACTGTGATTTTCACAGTGAGAAGCACGCAAACGCCTCTAGTGGCTGTCAATGAGACAGCCACTAGCGGCTGGATTAACCCATTTATAAACTTAGCAGTTTCTCTGAAACTGCTATGTTTATAAAAAAAGGGTTAATCCTAGAGGGACCTGGCACCCAGACCACTTCATTAAGCTGAAGTGGTCTGGGTGCCTAGAGTGGTCCTTTAAAACAAGATTCAAGTCCTACATACGCGAATATTTGGGAGCCGGGGTTCTAAACAGACTAATACCCCTCAAAAAGACCAGAGGGTTCTGGCCGATAGAAATGCCCTGCAGGGGAACATGAGCCGCCGATTTAGCCGAACGTGTAACATTGATGGAGCAGTAAAATCTGTCCAACTAAAAAGGTGGGCTAAAAAAATTTAGATGGTGGTAACAGGTGCAGTAAAGGGATCAAGATCCCTCTCCAGACACCAAGTACTCTATATACTCAATGCAGCGATGTCGCTCGCTCTATTGCCAGGGCCCATGAGTCCCATATAAGCTCCTCAGTCGATTGCGATATGCCATTGTCTTATCAAGGCCACCAGGTCCAATCTTACTTTGAAGATCAGTAGATGTAGTTCCCCTTGTGTGTTTGTCAACATATCAGGGAAGGATGGTAGCAGAAGGGGGTGATCATGGAATAGTTCCAACAGATCTGGAAACCATGCTTGATCTGGACACCGTAGAGTGATCATTAACAATGGAATCTTTTGGAGTCATATGTGATGGAGGACTCTCAGAAACATTGAGAAAAGAGGAAATGTGTAAGCCAATTCTTGGAAAAAAACGTCCACTGTCTCACACTCTGGATCTGGAAGTCAGCTGAAATATTTCTGCAACTATCTGTTGGTCTGGGAGGTAAACTGAAATGGTCCTCAGAGAGAGCTTAGAGTGTGGAAAACCAAGAAGGACAGTCGCTAACATCCCTCCAGTGTCGAGAAGCCAGTCTGCCATTAGGTTGTCGATCCCTGGTAGGTACTCCACTCACAGAGTAAAATATTGCGGGAAAGGAATAATTTGTATATGTCCTCCATTTATGTGGAGATTTGCTTCCTTTTCAACCCACAGTCCACCTGTGGAAGCATGTGTGCAGTGGGCATCCCTAGAGACTTGCGTCTGGTTAAACAATGAAATCCGTCATGGATCCGAAAATTGCTCTGCCTTTCCAAGCCTGCGTGTGGAGCAACCACCAATGGTGTTCGGTCCAGATTTCTATGGGTACCGGTGTCCATTGGTCGTAGGACTGACCATCTGTAAGTAGTGGGCTTTCAGTCGTTGCATAGCTCTGTAATGTACAGGGTCTGAATGGACGAGGACAGAAGTCCCATCACGCGAGCTAGGAGTCATAGAGGGATGGAGTCCTTGCGTAGAATACGTCTTATTTCCCTGCAAATGGTTTTTATTTTTGTGCTGAGCAGGAGTTAGTGCTGTTACTCCTTGTTCACAATGAATACCAATGATTCCAGAAAGTGTATTATACATACCGCCTAAAAGCGCAGTCTGGAGATGGAATTGTAGACGATCCATATGTTGTCTAGGTAGATCAGACAATGGATACCTTGTGATCAAAGGTGTGCCATCACTGGCTTCAGGAGTTTGGTGAAACACCGTGGTTTGCTGAGCTGAGTCCGAAAAGGTAGACATGTGAATTGGCAAGGGAGGAGGTACTTGGTTCCTGTGTGCTAGAAGTGCCTGGTGGCACCCCTGCCGAGGCTATGGCGGAACACTTGTCTCATTGATGACTGGGCTTTGTTGAGTGAATTGAAGAGGTTCACTGTTGTAACCGCACGTGGTTCTCTTACCACTATAATGTCTTAAAGCAGGGGGCGTGGCCTGAAGTCCGACAGACATGGACGTGTAAGTCCCGAGCTCCCTGCCACCTAGCTACCATCAGCCACTTACCGACCGCCAGCCTGCCTAAATGGGGCGTACAAAAAAGCAAGAGCCCCAACATACCCCCAGGGCAGCTCCACCGGCACCGCCGTCAGGACCGATGGACGGGTTCCTGCAAACCCCGCTGGGACCGAGCCGCGAGGCACACGGCTCCAAGATGGCGCCCGTCTCCCCAGCCTCCTCCTGCTCGGAACCTGACCAGCCTACTCTGGCTGATATAGGAGCTGAGATCAGACGATTGGCAGCCAATATGGTCACCAAAGCCGACCTGCAGTCCCTCACAGCCACCCTCACGTCGGCAGTCTCAGCACTGCGAACAGATATGGAGGCACAAGATGGACGCATCCAAATGCTGGAAACACAGGCCCTAGAATCACAACGCCGTGCAACTGCTGCTGACACAGCCTTGACAAGGCAGGGCAACATGCTGCTGGCCCAGCGCAGACAAATAGAGGACCTAGATAACCGGAGCCGCCGCTCAAACATCCGGGTAAGAGGGGTTCCAGAGGGTGAGGGGCAGGAAAATGTAGAAGAGCTACTCACCGCGCTCTTCCTCCAAATCCTGGGACCTGACGCACCACCAAATATACGCTTTGAGCATGCACATAGGGCACTGAGACCCAGAATCAGAGATGGGGACCCCAGAGACATTATATGCTGCTTACACTCATTCCCCCTTAAAGATCGCATAATGCAACGGGCTAGGGCTCGACCCACGTGGCGTTATCAAGAAACGGAAGTCTCCCTCTATAATGACCTCTCCCCTACCACGTTAGAGGCTAGACGCGCTCTCAGACCTATCACTACAGCACTAAGGGAACGCAATATCCCATACAAATGGGGCTTCCCATTTAGCATCCAAGTGAGACACCAGAACGAATGGGTCGCTGCGCGCTGGCCGGACGAAATACCACGCTTTCTCCAACGGCTGGACCTCCCGCCCATAGCAATCCCAGACTGGATCCTGGAACCACTGGACCGAGAACCCAGACCACAAAGACAGCCAAGGCACTCACGGAGAGGCCCAAGGGAAAACCGCATACACGAAGCACCTTCACACCCGTCTAACCCAGAAGAATAGCCAAGCACTGGTGGCACCGGGCTCAACTCTCTGTGACACCTATGATCCGGTTACCTGAAAAGATGTCGACGCAACTGACGTCCCGCAGACAGAACTCATTGCCCACAACCCACTGACCCAAGGAGCCAACTCCGCACGCTACCTATGGTGTACACACACCCAGCGACCCACACAATCTGGATGGGGACTAGGAGGGACATAACAGGCTCTTGACCACAGGAGATGGAACTGTTGGTACCAGTTCTACTAGGCCCCACCGGCCAAGCTATTCCCCACCTTATACCCACCTTTCCATAGCCTGTGGCACACAGGGATGGCACTACCATGAGACTCTCTTGGGAGGGGGGGAAGGCTTGTGATAGCCGCATAGGGAACCCAGGGAAGCTGAAGAATCACGAGCCGGATCCCTTGGCTGGACTTGCCACCGCACCTACAAGGAACCGACAAAAGAATATGATCCAGAACAGGATACCTGCACTGGCAGAGACACGACACTCTGGAGGACTCATACCAACAGGTTCAGGGGGGATGATGAACGCTGGGCTGGCCGCATGTTGCGGGCCTACGTTGGGTGCAGACAGTGGGGAGGGACTTGTGGGACTGTATTGGGCTACATGGGGGGTAGTTTAGAGCCAGCGAGACACAGATTGTTGAAATCCTGGGCCAACAGTTCAAACTGGTGGAGTGGGGGAGGATACGGGAGAATGGGAGGGTGGAATTTAGAATCCCTTAGCGTAGGACACCTGATGCAGATAGCCCATGAATACAGCAGATCTAGGTAGGAACCGCTATGCACGATATCACCCCATCCCCTTCAGGCCTAGATATGGTCACACACAGGTACACTAACATGAGACGAGGGTGCTGCAAGAGGAAGATAGGAGCTAGGAGGTACACAAAGGGGATCCAATGCTGCACCTAATGTATATATGTTTTACTCTGTGGTTTGGGTGGGGAGGGAATGTACTGTGAGATATGATGCACATTTTGAATTGTTCACCACAACATTGACCGTGACAGCTACCCCATTGAAATTGAGGGTGATGACACCACTTACCCCCAGAGCAAGCCAAACGTCCCGCACATTACGTGACAGTCGTGACACACCAGGACACCGCCCTACCCCAGACTCAGGAATTTGCCCCGACCTGATATAGATCCTGACCCTGGCACCGACCATACAGCCTAAAAACACTCCATCACTCGATAGCACTACATCAACCTAGGATACGAACAGCGACAATACTGATAACTGCTGATGCCACCAGACTAGACCCATTACTCACACTAACGCTAACGACACTCAAATGCTCCCATACTGGTGGCACACCCACTGGGTAATCTCGGACTTATATACCTGTAACGACAAACAGTAGACACACCGTACGTGGTGGGAACGCGAGGACTAGACCACTAACCCCCGCCAAGTTCGCGTGAACAAATTCGAACCACGGAGAGTCGATAGTTGGAGGTCGTTAGATATTCTCTGACAGACCCGACTACTGACTGCTACCGTGGTCACGCGAACCAACCCTCACAGGAGGGATTTTTGACACCTACCTCTAGGTGCCGTACTGTCCCCCTCTGGGGACGGCTAACCTACCTCTACCTTCATACCCCTGCCTAGGGGACTCTCTACATCTTTTCTCAAACTCCACCCTACCTCATCCCTCCCCATACGACTCTGATCCAACCGCCCCTACCCAACTTCTACACTACCGTCACCCCCCCCTGCCACCTCCGTGCCCACGGCATTTCCTAAAAGAGACGGGGCAGCACCCGACACCAGGCACCGACTAGAAGAGTAAACAAAACGTTAAAGGACATGGCGAACCACCCCCACCAATCGCAAATGGCCTACGAACCTGACCCTCTATGCATCACAACCATGAACTGCAGGGGCCTAAATATCCCGGAGCACAGATCGCACCTTCTCCGAGAGCTTACCTCTAAGCGCGTATCGATTGCTTTCCTACAGGAAACACACTTTAAGGAAGGACATGCTCCACCGTTGAAGAGCAAACACTACCCCACTGCGGCTCTCAGCAACCACCCGACTGCACGTAAGGCAGGTGTAGCAGTTCTCACCCATGCTCAACTACAGTTCCAGGAAGTGGAGCGACTGGTTGACCCTAACTGCAGATACCTGTTCATTAAGGGAGACATACAAAACCGTAGGTACACCCTCGCGACGATATACGCACCAAACAACAACCAATCACACTTCATACGTAAATCTCTCTCCAACCTCTCCTCATTCACAGAGGGCACGTTAATCGTTGGAGGAGATCTTAATGTTCCCCTCATCCCTCTCATAGATTCATCCACGGGACACAGTAGCATCACCCAAGGAGCCATCCGAAGCATACAAAAAACGCTAAAGAACCTTAGGCTGGTGGATTGCTGGCGAGCGATGCACCCGGCAGACAGGGAATACACCCACTACTCGGTGATACATAAGCGATACGCAAGGATTGACTACATCTTCCTTCAACAGGAACATCTTGACGCTATCCAAACAGCAGAAATTGGAACAGCAAGCTGGTCGGATCATGGTCCTGTGACCCTGCAAATGGACTCCCCCAGGGTACGCCCAACCGCTAGGTCATGGCGACTCCAGGACTCATTACTCTTGGACCCATCAGTGAAGGAAACGGTTTCCGAGGAACTCACCTCCTATTTCGCACTGAATGAGACGGATGATCTCCCCGCGACCACGATATGGGAAGCGCACAAAAGTGTGCTCAGAGGGACACTGATGCGCCTAGCTTCTCAGAAGAAGAGAGAATCTCGGAAACATATGACGGACCTACTAACGCGCATAACTACGCTTGAAATGCAACACAAACGTTCACACCTCGAGGGGACATATAAAGAACTATTGGAAGCCCGAAGATCTCTACATACACACATGACGAAACGACACTATAGCTCCATACAACAATCGAAGGCCTTCTTCTACCAACACGCCAACAAAGGAGGGCGACTGCTGGCCAGAATGCTTAGAGGCCCCCAAGGCATGACCCAGGTACATAAACTACGGACATCAGACGGCACGATCACACAATTCCCGGATAAAATAGCATCCGAGTTTCGCACATTTTACGCCTCGTTATACAACATCCCGGGACCCACACTACCGGAGGAGGTAACACTCAGACGGGATAGAATAAGGAGTTATATCGAATCACACGTGAAGACGAGGTTGCAGCAAGGGGAACCGGAGTCACTGGATATACCGATTACGGAGGCAGAAGTTGCAGGGGAACTCAAGACCGCCAAAACGGGACGGGCCCCAGGCCCTGATGGCTTTACCTTGGACTACTATAAAAAGTTCCGAACCCTACTGCTCCCGAGACTCACCAACGCATTTAACGCTTTGATAGACGGCGCCCGACTCGGACCCGAATCATTAGCGGCAACTATAACGGTTCTCCCGAAACCTGGGAAGGATCCCGAACTCTGCAGCAGCTATAGACCAATATCACTGCTAAATGTGGACGTGAAGCTCCTCACTAAAATACTATCCACCAGAATAGGGAAAATGCTTCCGAGATTGGTCCATCCAGACCAGACGGGGTTCATCCCAGGGAGAGAAGCTAGAGACAGCACTCTTAGAGTGCAAGCCATCCATCACCTGGCAAAGAAATCAACAGATAAGCTCCTTTTATTGTCAACGGATGCGGAAAAAGCATTTGACCGGGTTGACTGGACATTCCTTATAACCACGCTACGGGAAATGGGCTTCGGAGAGAACATGATGAAATGGATTGATGCGATCTACCATTGCCCCAATGCGAAAGTGAGAGTGAACGGAGCGCTTACCGATTCCTTCCAGATCCACAATGGGACAAGACAGGGATGCCCACTCTCCCCCATGCTCTTCGCCCTAGCTCTCAAACCGTTCCTGGAAGCGGTGCGCACATCGGATACAATCAAGGGCTTCAAAAGCGGGGACACAACACACAAAGTAGCAGCATACGCAGATGACCTCTTATTTTTTATCACGGAACCGGAGGCAACAATGCCCCACTTAGTCACTATGATCACGGACTACGGGGAGGTCTCAGGATTCAAACTGAACATGAATAAATGTGAAGTGCTTAACATTACCACCCCAACGGCCCAAACATCCACACTGAAGAACCAATTTCCGTTTAGATGGTGCGCAAACCACATGCGGTATCTAAGTATCGCAATAACCAGAGACCTGGGCGACATGTATCGTACAAACTTCCTACCACTACTACAACGAATCCAACAAGATTTGAAAACGTGGACATATCCACACATCTCCTGGTTAGGCCGGATCGCAATACTTAAGATGAATATTCTACCACGGCTGTTATATTTATACCAGACGATTCCGCAAGCTCTACCGACGGCATATTTCGCGTCGCTACGTTCCGCGATGGTGAAGTTCGTCTGGCATGGGAAACAGGCAAGACTACGACAGGAAGTCCTCTGCCTACCTCGAGCATGGGGGGGATTGGCACTCCCTGACCTCCGCAAATACCACCACGCGACAGTACTACAACGCGTCCTGGAATGGCATACTCAACCGGAACATAAACAATGGATCGAATTGGACAAACAACATATAGGCCCCTCCTTTCTGACATCAGTGTGGAATACGAAGAAGATGCCGCAGACGAATTTGGAACCATCCTCTACCGTGGCGCAGACACTGAAAACGTGGGATTATATCAGAAAGGCTACTCACGTCTCTCCAGCACCGAGCCCGATGATCCAGATACAATACAACCCCCAGATAGGGGGAGGGCTACCACGGACAGCATGGTCCTTCCTGGGAGAGGGGGAATCACACCCCATACATAAGGTGTTAACTAACGCAGATATGATCCCCCTGAGGGACCTAATAGAAGGCGACCAACCCACTAGCCTACAGACCTTCCGTTATATACAACTCAGAACATATTACCGGACACTTCCAGACAAGGAAAAGTTACACAGGGACTTGACATGGTTCGAAACGCTCTGCGATCACAAGACTACTCTAGGTAAAGCGATATCCCTGCTATACCAACACGTACTCGTAGGGCACCTCACTAACAACGACCAATTCCGCAGACGCTGGGAACGCATGCTAAATACATCTTTCACCACATCCCAATGGGAAAAGATCCTCATATTACACCATAAATGCTCATCGAGCTCCCAATATCAAGAAACCAACTATAAACTTCTCTCATTCTGGTACAGAACGCCCGACAGTCTACACAGGATCTTCCCGAATGTACCTGACATATGCTGGAGATGCGGAGATGAACGTGGTTCGCCACTGCACATATGGTGGGAATGCTCACTCATTAAGCCATTCTGGGTCGAAGTCCTACAGAAAATAAGGGATATCACAGGGACGGAAGGAAACCATAACGCAGAGGCAGTCCTCCTACACTCAACACCAGATCCCATAGGCACATACAGGAAAAACATTCGTAGACACCTAATCAACGCAGCCAAGGCACTAATTCCATTATACTGGAAACAAACGAATACCCCGACGATAAGACAATGGTTGGAACGGGTGGAAGAAATATATAGAGCGGAATTAATACAGGCTACACTACGAGGACTAGAAGACAAGCATGTGGAGAGGTGGCGCCCGTGGCTACTCTACATAGCGGACCGAAACACAGATAGGAACGGCCATTCGCAACCCCAAGGAGCCCCAGGACCCCCCACAGACGGGGACTGATGCCTGGTCCGATACATACTACGCCGTGGTCACGGATGACAGGACCACCTTTCCCTTCATACTCCCCTATCCCCCCTCCCACACCCCCCGCCCAACCACCCCCCACCCAGCTCTCCCCTCCTCTTCCCCCTCTCCTTTTCTCTTACTTCTTACTCAATTAACACTCATCTTCTCTTTAAAACTCCCCAACAATGGCTTCATTATAAATTACATGATAAACGTAGCCCGCCTTAATCCGAGATTGCCCACAATTGTGTCACTCACTCACACTTGCACGTCAAAATGGACGCAAACACCTTCATCACGCAACTACACAACACGAATAAGACACGTCCCTGAACGACATCTGACCTATGACGACGGACCAATAGACCTTACTACCCCAAAGAGAATGAGGCTCAAGGGTGATAAGGAAATACTAGAGGATCACATAAAACAGACGCGAGGCACAAACTTATGAATATCCCTCTACTCAAGCTGCAATCCGATCACTCATATGTATGTCTTAACGTGTTAAACGTGACCAAATGCCATATAGAAATACTATATAACATTGTTTGAGTGTTGTCTACACACTTAATGTTGGGACCTGCGAGTCCGTTATATGTTATTTACTTGTTCAATCAATTGATACCTGCTAATGTACAGTGATCAGGGCATACCCTGAAATGCTTATGTTTGAATAAAGCCTTTTTGAACATAATGTCTTAAAGCATAGAACTTAGTAGGGCTAACCATACAGATATCTTAGCCATAATTTTATATAGTTAGTAAGAG